AGTAGTGCAATTGCTGAGTCGTAGGGTAGCTCTATTTTCAACTTTTTGAGGAACCTCCATACTGTTTTCCAGAGTGGCTGCACCAGCTTGCATTCCCAACAGTGTAGGAGGGTTCCCCTTTCTCTGCATCCCCGCCAACATCTGTCATTTCCTGACTTGTTAATTTTAGCCATTCTGACTGGTGTGTTCCTCACGTCTTCTTTCTGATTCTGTCTTGGGTCTTTCTATCTCACAGTCCATCTCGATTTAACTGGGGAATAAGCTATTTTGTGTGTCTTCATTATAATTTTTAAGAACACTTGATTTTTCCTGTGCTTATAAGACTGTGTGTGACTCTTTTAGAAGACGACAGGAGCCACCCGTGGCCATAGGACCACCCAGTCGATTTGGTTGAAAGTAACAAAAATTGAAAATCCCTAGGGTAGTGCCGTCCAAGAGAACTTTCTGCGATGAGGAAAACGTTCTCCGTACTCTCCAACTTGGTAGCTGCCAGTTACACGTGGCTGTGGAGTGCTTGAAATGTGCCCAGTGTGTGTGAAGACCTGAGTTTTAAAGTTTTTGTTTAGTTTTAAGTAGCTTAAATGTAAGTAGCCACGTGGGGCTGGAGGCTACTCCATGGACAACACAGGTGAGCAGCTGTCCAGTGTGGACCCTCTTGTGCTCACTGCCCAAATATCCCTCAGTGTCCATCAGTGAAGCCCGACCTGTGCCAGGACTCCTTTTGTTTTGCTTTGCTGTGTGTAGGTGAGGTAGTCAGTTCTGACCTGGAGTTTGAGTCCTTTGCTTGCCAAGGAGGCACATTTTGCAATGTTTAGCAAGGCCCCTCTGGCCCTCAGACCCTTGATCCCTTTCCAGGCATTCTGTTGCTGATCTCTGCCACCTTCATTCCACCAGTTGCAAGTGAAGACTCCGATCTTGGAGGCTCCTCCCCCCACACCCCAAGAGTCCTTAGGTTCTTCTTCAATGTACCTGGTGGTGCCTGCCCTGAGCCCTGACTCCCTGCGGCACTTACCTCACTTCCTGGCTATTGGTCAGCAAGATCTTGAGGACCGAAAGGCGTCTTTATCTGTGTCTCCTTTGTGCCCGACTACAGTGCTGCCTACACCATAAGCACTCAAAATAATATTCTGTTGGGTGAGTCCAGTCGTAAAAATCAGTTTTATTCCAGTATTTTCTTTATTATGTCTTTTTTTCTTTCTTTCTTTCTTCCCTCCTCCCTTCTTTCCTCCCTCCCTCCGTCCCTCATTAATTCTATCATTCTTTTTTTTTTATTTTAAAGATTTTATTGAAATATTTATTTGACAGAGAGAGGCAGTGAGAGAGGGAACACAAGCAGGGGGAGTGGGAGAGGGAGAAGCAGGCTCCCCGCGGAGCAGGGAGCCTGATGCGGGGCTCGATCCCAGGACCCTGAGATCATGACCTAAGCCAAAATCAAGAGTCAGCTGCCTAACAGACTGAGCCACCCAGGCGCCCCTAATTCTATCATTCTGTTTACACTGAAATCACCCTTGACAACCAGCTTGTCAGATGCTGACTTGATCCAGATCTCAGGGGAGTTCCTTTTGTAGAAATGTTGCAAATTTTTGGTGGCCTAGGGCTTTTGTTTCAGGGCATTGTTAGGTCTACAACCCTTGGGGTTGACTGGGGGGATCTCTGAGACAATCTTGAGGCAAATTCTATACCTGAGTCTTTTGCTTCTTGACATATTTGACATTTCTCCTAGTGAGTCTGGTTTTACTCAGAGCCTAGCATCTTTTGTAGTAGAGGATATCCCATCCTGTCAAGATGAAACAACACTTTTCTGGGTGAGCCGAAGCTTCAAGGAGAGAGAGAGGGTTTAGTGGAAAGAATGCTCGATGGGCATTCATTCAGCAGATGTTTGTTGAGCTCCTACCCTGTGCCAGACTCTGTTCTAAGCACTGGGGTTATGCTAAGGCACACAAAGATCCCTGCCCTCATGTGGTTTTTGTTCTAGTGACGAGACACACACCATAAACAAAATAAATGTGCAATATGTATTACCTGAGAAGAAGTGCTAGGGAGAAACATAAAACAGGGAGGAGGGATTGGGAGTGTTAGGGGTGGGAGTTGTCATTTTCAACGGAGTCATCCGGGAAGGACTTACTGAGATGACACAGGAGTCATGTTCTAAGGAGGGGGTGGGGAGTCAGCCGCTAGGGGCTAGGTAGGAGGATCACCCAGTGCAAAGGCCGTGAGGGGGCCTTGTGCCTACAGCATCAGGGAACAGCCACCGTGTGACTGGAGCAGGTGAGTGGGGGAGTCCCGGGGGGATGAGGTCAGAGGTGATGGTGGTAGATTGAAGAGGGGGGGTGATTATAGGGGTTATGGCTGCTTTCTCTGCGTGGGGTGAGAAGCTCATTGGAGAGTTTTAAACTGAGACGTGACATAGAGTAACTTAAATTTTAACAAAATCATTCTGGCTGCTGTGTGGAGATTGCACAAGGGAGGCAGGAGTAGAAACTGGAGGCCAGTGAAGGAGCCACGAAATGGTGGGCACCTGCACCAGGGTGCTGGTAGTGGCCATAATGAGAAAGGTCCGATTGTACATGTTTTGAAGGTAGGACATACAATTTGCTGAGCTGGATTCTAGCCCTCAGTTCGTCATTTATGAACTGTGACAGTCCATTTCTAAGATTCCCTTTCTTCATGTGTACAATGGGGAAAACACTATTTGGCTTAATATTTTCTAGGATTATTATACTAACACAACGTAAGAAAGAATGTGAGCCCCTGTTGTGAAACTCCAAAGTCATTTACAGATAATTAAGAGCCACTACTTACCGGGCACCTTACCCTCAGGTTTTCATTTAGTCCCCTGTCAATTTCACAACTGGATGTCACTATGTACATTCTAGAATCGAGGGAAGTGAAGTCAGAGAGCCACATGCAAATAACCAGAGGGTCAGGATTCGAACCAGAACTTTCTGACCTTGTGTCTGAGCTCTTGGCCACTCGGCTACGTGTCTTCCCTAGAAAGCATTTTTATTACCCCTCAGAGATTGTGCCTTCATACAAGGCAGTGACCTAGAAATATTTGCAAACTTTGAAGCAGACAGCATGCAGGGCATCCTTCCCGATGCCATCTGATCATGCTTTAGTAAGAGTATGTACCCAAACATTTAGAAGCCCACACGTAAAATCATGTGGGAGAAGGTGAGATAAGCTTGTTGAAGTTATTTTGCATTCGAGGATGTTTGTGTGGACAACTTCAGCCCAGTTCCTTCCAGATCCCTTACTTCCCATTGCCCTATAATTTCACACCCCTCTCTCTGGCCGTGTCAAATAGTGAATGATCTTTCTCTTGCTTCCTTCCCTGGGACCCACGGGTAGAATACTGTGTGGAGTTCCAGAGGACCAATGGCTCCCTGAATGTGACCTCTGAGAATGCCACCTCTCCTGTCATCGAGTTCTGGGAGTAAGTGAGGCCCTCTCCCCATCCCAGTGTGGGCGGTGGGTTTGAAAGGAGGCCACAGGAATGGGCTCGTGTGGTGCTGACCCTCAGTGGACAGCAAGAGAAGAATTTCTGTTTTCTTCTTTGGTGGCCCTGTCACTTAAGTGGCTTTTTTTTTTTTTCTTGTTGGGCTTGTATCTGTGGTTAATGCAGAACTGGTTTCAAAGATGAGAATTTTGCAACTCTCCTCAGGCCGCACCTGCCTTCCCCCCCGCCCCCCCGTCCCCACCCCCATGTTGGATGGCGCGAACGCTTTTGTGTGGACACTCCTACCTCCCCTCCCCCCGCAGCTGCGTGTGCGCTGCCTCCTAGCCCCCCTCCCTCGTAGCCCTGGGTTCACCTAGGCCATGATTCCTAATATCAACACATCCCGAAACCCTGGTTGAGAAGATAATGGGTTTGCACCTCCCTCTCTAGGTTAAATTGGTACTCAGCCTCCCAGAGCATACTTAGCCGGGAACAGTTTATATTTATCTCCCTTGCTATCTATCCCCATCTCTGGGCAAAGGAGAGCCTCATGGATCTGAGTGAAAAGAGCTGACGAGCCTTTGGACAAGAGCCTGGAGGCATGGCTCCACTGCCTGAGACATGTGGGCCACAAAACTGAGGCTGGGGGTGAAAGTGGAGCCCGGCTCAACCTTCTCTCCCCAGGAGGCGGGTCCTGAAGATCTCCGATGGCATCCATGACCTGGGGGCCCTGCGCTGGGAGCTGGCCTTGTGCCTCCTGCTCGCCTGGGTCATCTGCTACTTCTGCATCTGGAAGGGGGTCAAGTCCACGGGCAAGGTCCGTGTTGGAGAGCTCCTGGCCCCTCTCGTCCCAGGACTCCCTGCCCTCCCTGGGGGCCTGGTCACCCAGGAGCGCCCTGAGCTGTAACCTGATCAGGGACGGGAGGGAATGAACCCGTCAAGATTGTATGTGGCTCCCTCCCTTGATTCTGTGCCTCTCCTTGCTTCGCTCCTGTGCACTCTGGTATGTGGGGAAATGGAATGGAAAGGAGGGAGAGAGAAAGGCAGGAAGGACACTTCCAAGGAATGTGATCTTGCAGTATACCCCACGTGGGGGCACATTGCAAATTTAACAGATGTCGTGGCTCCCTGATTTATTCAACGGTTCTTTGGAAAAAGAATCCCACGGAGACTATTTATCTCAAAATGATTCGCAACCACCCTGAGAACTTGGGGGGTACTCTGCCAGAGAGTGTATGAGGTGTTAGAGGGCATTCTGAGTCCTTCTGGACTCTTGCCCTGGAGGCCTCTGACAAGGCTTCCTTCCTAATCTGGCTGCCTGGCTGTGCTAAGCTTGTAAGCTCTGTGAGGACAGGGATCATGTGTTGGAGAGTTTCTCGTGCCTGACAGCCCTGTGCCATAATTCTAAGCACACTTGTTGGGAGCATGCCTGAGTTCATTCAGTCACTTAACAAATATTTACCGGGTATGTGTCGGGGGAGGGTGGGTGTGTTAAGTTGGAGGGAGAGAAGGGTAAGGGTGGTTGTGGTTTAAGGCAGAGGGCAGATGGAGCCCGAACAGCTGCAGGGGTGAGAGGGAGGGGGCAGAGAGAAACACTCTTGACCTCCTCTGTGTACGTGTGGAGGGGGGAGCTCCTGCTTCCTGCCTCTGCTGCCCGGGGGGCTCGGGGCCCCTCCTTCCAAACTCACAGGTTCCTTGTCTTTCATCTGCCCCCCCGGCCAGGTGGTGTACTTCACAGCCACATTCCCCTACCTCATGCTGGTGGTCCTGTTAATTCGAGGGGTGACGCTGCCCGGGGCAGCCCAAGGAATTCAGTTTTACCTGTACCCCAACCTCACGCGTCTGTGGGATCCCCAGGTAAGAAGCCACAGACAGGGGCCATCCCGTGGCTCTGGAGGCTTTTTCCCTGCTCCTGGCCCAAACCCTGCGGTGTCCATGGTGGCGTGGGGGGTCTCCAGCGCTGTGTCAGCAGCTGTCTGTGGTCCCCCGCTTGGTCGGCGGCTGCCAGGGAGCCCAGTCATGGTTCTCAGGGGCTGCGGATCCGTCACCCACAGGCTGCAGCCCGGTCCCCACCACCATCTTCCCCGTCCCCCTGTCCATTTTTCCTCTGGGTGATCTCACCTCGATTTCTTACCCCTCCACCAGCCCTTCTGGTTCCGTCCCTCTGCCCACGTGGCCCATCCCGAGGCCCCGGTTCCCCAGCCCTCCCAGCGCCCGGCTGGGCTGGTGTCGAGTTTCCTGTCAGTTGTCCAGAGGTCCCAGCCTCCTGGCCTCCTCCCTCCCCTCCGGCCCTTCCTTCACGTCCACTCGTCCACTCGGTCTGCTTCGGCCAGCTTCCTCGCGGCCTGGCACGGGGAGGGAGTGCTGCTTGCTCACTGGAGGGGTTTGGAGAGCAGGGCCTGAAATAAGAAGCCACCGTGGCTGACGGGTTTCTTATCTTCTCCTGTTTGGCAGCCGTTTTGAAAGCTGGCAAAGCCAGGAGGTGTCGAGGGCCGGAGGGGAGCGTGGGTAAGCTCCACCCCAGAGCCCCTAAAATGTGTTGCCCAGCTACGTGCCCCGCCTCTGCCTCCCTGGCACAGAGGTCGCCCTCCCTTTGGGGGCTGGAGGAGCTCTCTGTGTCTGCAAGGGGGCCCTGAGGAGACAGAGGGCGGGAGGCTCCCGGCGCAGAAGAGACGAGAACAGCCGGATGGCTTTGCAGACGTTGCAAATGCTGAGTTCCCTGTTGGGCAGAATTTTGGGGGGGGGATCCAGCAGCTGCATTTTTCTCATGGCTCCCAGCCACCCTGGCAAAGTTAAGTCCTGCCATCCTGAGTTCTGCCGGCAACCGGCAGTCGCCAGAGCACTCGTCTTCCAGAAGCTCCCCACGGGGTCCAGCAGCCTTGTGCGCTAGGTCCTGCCCAATGATCCGGTGGGCTACAGGCTTATCCTTCCCTCCCCCGTTTCTTAGACATAGTAGAGGTGCGGATTGCCGCTGCCTCATCTCCACGTGAGGCCCACAGGCTGTAGTCAGGCTTGGGAGCAAACGGTGGAACTGTAGTCGTTGAAGCAAAAAGGCCCCCAGAGATCAACCAGTGCAAACTCCTCACTGAACAGATGAGCAAACAAGGCCCAAGGTCACACAGCAAGTAAGTGGCTGGCCAAACAAAGTGTACTTTTATCTTGTGAATCATAAGCCCTTTGACTTCTCTGGAAGCCAGGTGTTGTGGTGGAGAGTCCATAGCAAGCAGGAGCTCGTGGGGGCCAGCTTTGAAGGCCAGGGGTGGAGGGTGGCTTGGATCTCCTGTGCGGGAGGGCTCCACTGTTGTTCTGGAACCGCAGACATGTGAACCAGTGGCCAAGCAGCCGTCCGCCTTCGCTTGGGGGTCAGGCTGGGAAGGAGGAGCCGTGTTCAGTCAGGGAGACGAGCAGGTAGGCTGAAAGAGAACTAGGAGGGAGGGGTCTGGTATTTCTGGAATGGATTTTCGGCTTCTGCGACCAATGCCTCGTTTGTCCTGATCAGCTATTTATAGTCAACGACGATCGAGCACTAACCATGTCCCTGTCATTGTTACGTGCAGTATTACAGCTAACCCTCGTGGCAGACCAGTGAGGTGTCCCCATTTTACAGGAAAGGGAGGCCTAGGGAGCTTAACGCATTTCCCATCCTCACATTTGCAACTGGAACCTGGGTCTGAATGATGACAAATCCATATGCTTTACGATCTCTTGAATTGAAGGCAAAGTCCCCATCTGCTCATCTTTGTTTTTCTCAAAGCTCATTCATTCAGCAAAAAATTTACAGAACATCTATTATGCGACAGGTCTGTTCTAGGTGTCAGCGTTGTTAGAGAGTAGCTGGCAGCAAACGTGAAGAAGGTGGACCAGACAGCCTTAAACTCTGAGCGTTAACAAGGCCATGATTCCGTGTCTGGGTTACTGCGGGGAATAAAACCTCTTTTCGTCTTCCGTCCAGGGTACCACCCTTCCAACCCCGGCCAGCTGTGGGCTGTGCAGGGAGCATGTTTCTTCCAAATCCTCTGAAGCTGTGAGGAGGGAGATGTTTCCAGGGCCGGGTTTGGTCTGGGCTACCCCGCCGCCTTCTTGGCCGCTGGGTCCCGGTCTCTGGCTGCAGCTAGGCCTCCGTTGTCGGAGAGAGTAACAGCCTTCCGGGTGATGCCCCTGCCGGAGCCCTAACTGAATGTAGCTGGCACTCCCCAGGAAGTGTGAGAGTTCCAAGTGGCATTTGCCTGGCACTTGAGAAAGGTGTAAGATTCCTGCTAGCCAGCACAAAGACCCCAGACATCTCTGTCTGCCAGGCACTCCGTCTGGGAGGGGGAGGCAGGCAGAGACAATGCTGGCTTTATCTGGCTCCCTCCTCTCTTGCTGCCAGGCTTGCTGGGTGTCAGGCAGCTCAATGCCTCTCCCGGTGTTTCCTGGGGCTCAGCCCTTTCACACGCGGGAGGGGCTCCTGGAGACTCCAGACTCTCCCGGGCTGCCTTTCTTTCCCTTGCCTGGCCCTTTGTTCTGCTGCCTTTGTTCGGTAGATGGATAGGGGGTAGGGTGTCCAAAGAGCCCTTGTGGAACCTTTGAAAGCTCCATGTGAAGCTCTTCTAATGAAGGGTTTGTTTAGGGAGGCGGTTGGAACACTGATTAGAATGGGTCTTCTTATTTTGACATCTATGGGACCTCATCATCACTGAAAGGTGAGTTGCCTTTTTGAAGTAACCACAGCAACAACAAACACACTTATTATGCGCTCGCTATTTGCCAGGTGCTTTACTGAGGGCATGATGCCGGGGAGACCCCACACAGCCCCATGAGTCCCTGTTAGCTTCATCTTGTAGATGAAGAAACTCAAGCGTAGAAAACTTAAGAAATTTGCTCCAAATCCACAAAACTAGCATGTGGGGGAGCTTGGGTTTTATGCCAAGTAGTCTTCAGGAGTCTGCTGTCTTGATGACCATGATACACATTTTCCAAAGAGTATGAATGTGAGAGTTTTCAGGGCTGCTTTTTATTATTCCAGAAAGACAGGGAACTCATACTTAACTTATGTGCTAAGGATTTCACATATAATATTTTATTTGTTATTATACCCATTTCCCTGATGAGAAAAGTGAGGTTCAGAGAGGTTAAGTGACTTGCCCAAATCACGCAGCTAGTAATAAATAGAGTTAAGAGTTGAACCCAGTTCAATGTGACTCCAAAGCCCAGGCTTTTTCCATTACCCACTCTTGCCTTCCTATAAATAGTAAATATAATCCTCGTTGGGATTGAGCTCAAAGTTGAAAACATCCTTCCTGGATCTTCTAGAGGTCCCTGTCTTCCTCTGCTCCCCTGAAGACCTCTCTCTTTTGCCCACACTCCACCAGGTGTGTCTCACACTTGTTTTATTCTTGGTCAGTCTCCTGTCACAGCCAAAGACGCATCGGGGCTTTGTTTTAGAAACCAGGGCTGCTGGCGTGGTTAGGGAGCAGGCCGCCTGTGGTGGGGAACAGAACAGCTTGCTCTGCTGTTCCTGTGGCCCTTTCTCTGACCCCACTCCTCTCCCCATCCCAGCAGGCCTGTCAGGCTGCAGCTGGGCCAAGAGCGGGGGGTGGGGGGGGCTTGCCAAGCTTCCCGGGGAGCGGGCTTTAGTCAGAGGCTCCGGGTCTGACCCTCGTCCTCAGAACTCTCAGCCCTCCTGCTGCATTTTCCTCTGTTCTCATTAACCTCTGCCCCCAACCCAATCGTAGTCTGTCCCCCTCAGGACAGGGTGAACTGCCAAGTCACAATTTTTCTTATTTTTTTTTCCCAAGCCCAAGTTCTCGAAACTTCAGCACCCTGGGATTTGCGGCCCCTGCCTGTGTGTGGGCAGCCGCAGAGCAGCTCTGAGGGCAGCGGAGCGTTTCCCTGTTAACTCGTGGGTCAGTCTGCAGCCTGGGCACTGCCAGGCCCGGGGAGCAAACTTCCAAGACCCAAGGCTCCTGGGCCATCTCCTGGAGGGCCTGTTGGGGAGAGATCACCTGGGCTGGTGGCTGTGGGCCCCCAGGTAGATAGGGGTGTCTCCCAGCCCTCCCTCTCTGGGCCTGAGTCAGGGAATGGGGTTCACAGTGAGCAGAAGGGGCAGGAGGCTAGAGATGTTCTCCTCTTTTCTTCACCGTCTTTCTGGCTCTTCCCCGCTTCCCGCAGAAATGGAATATAACACAAGGAGAGGGTGCCCTGGGCAGATCCCGGGCGCCAGTTCTCAGGGCCTGTAGGGCAGCGACTCCCACATCTGGCTGACATTAGGATCATTCAGGAGGCTCTGAAAATAATACAGATTTCTGCATTTTCCTGAAGTCCTAGAGATCCAGTATCTCAACGGGGGCTTGTCGATGTGTCCCCGAGACCCACCACAACGCGGGGGAAATGGGCACTTTGGTAGGGGCGTGTGTGACAAGACAGCGAAGGAGGTTGGGGGCGGTCACAATGGTCAGGGAAGCAGCGAGAGGAGCCAGGGACACGGCAGCTGAGGCATTGGTGGATGTGAGCTTTGGGAGCTTGACGTGAGTGGAAGGAAAGCAGGGGCCTTTTGGGGGGCTGCTAGAGCAGGACAAGGCAAAGACAAGAAATGGGGAGCCCAGAGAGGTTAGGCTGCCTGCCTGGTGGTTTCTCCACCCGTAGCTTAGTGTTCCCTTGTGGCGCTCACATCTTCTGAAGATAGGAGGCGCCTGGGGAGGGTCTGCGGCCCTGGGACCCCACCTCCCTTGGATCGTCAGGGTTGCCCAGTCCTGTTCGCCTTGATGTGCTTTCTCTTTGGGATGTTATTGTAGCTGTTAAATCTAAATCATAACATGCCCGGGCCGGCCAGGCCAGCTGAGATAACACCGGCCCTAGCCGGGCCCCGGATTTAGCCACAGAGCTCTTCCCCCCAAGGAGTACAAAGTACATGCATTCCTGTCCAGCCTCTGGACTTTTTTGAGCTGAGGATGACTCTTCCTGCTTTCCAGACAGCAGATTTGGAGGTGCGAGGGGCAAAGCTGTATTCTTGCCATGGCACTGATATGAAGGACCCCCTAGCTCCAGAGATCCTGTCCCCGGATTCCTTGCAAACCGGTCATACTGCAAGGAGGGCCCGGGAAGGGAGAAAGTGGAGGCAGAATCAGGGCCTTATTTCTGTTGCAGAAAGTTGGTGCCAGGCCTGGCTTAGTCCTAGAGCTCCCTCCCAGGCTCCGCCACCCCGGGTCCTTCAGGCTTCGCCCAGTGCCTACTGCCCACGCCGTCCTGGTAGCGCCCGAGAAACGCTGTCGGGGTGCCCACTGGGAGAGCCGGGTCGCAGGCTGAGAGCAGCGTTGGCCACCGGCCTGCATGCTCCCATGGAGCCCAGACGGCCTGGGTTTCCTGGGGTGCAACGTTCTTGCCTTTTCCCTGTGTAGGTGTGGATGGACGCGGGCACCCAGATCTTCTTCTCCTTCGCCATCTGTCTAGGGTGCCTGACCGCCCTGGGCAGCTACAACAAGTACCACAACAACTGCTACAGGTGATTGGAAGGGTGGGGCCTGGGCCGCTGACCCGCCTCTCCCTTGCCCCTCCAGCGTGCTAGGTCAGGGCTGCTTTGGACGGTGCAACAGCTCATGGATTTGCCTCCCCCCACCCGTCTTCACCCCACTTTCCCATGTCCCAGGGCCCCCAGTTGCTGAAAGGGAGCCAAGTGTGGCATGGGCATAGGGATTGCCTCCAAAGGCTGGGATGGTTGGGATTGGCTGGGAAGCCACAGTGGGGGCCCAGCCCGCTGGCTAATGGAGAGGTTAGTGGGCTCGAGCCTGAGAAGTCATTCATCATGCCATGCAGGGGAGCCTCATTTGCCCCAGCCAACGCTGAACCCTTACCTATTTTTACCTCACCGCTCCCCATCTCCTGTCCCCCTCCCCAGGGTTCCCTCCAGCCGACTGAGTTCACATCAGACCATCTCAGCCAAGTTCAAGCTAAAAAAAAAAAAAATCACATCATACATTTCAAAATCAAATTTGGGGGATGAGGATTATGTGTGGTTTGGGATTGTCCGTGTCTACACATACCCTCCACATTAGCTGCCAAACTGAATTGTGTCTGAGTGGTAGCGTCCCAAGAGGTGTGGTGGCAATATGGCAGGAGGGGAGGCTGTGCAGCAGTTCGTAATTTTTAGATGAATATTTTACTTCCTTAGAACTTTACTCTTTAGTGACTACTGTGACTGACTCCAAGTCTCAGCTAATGGGTGGGTGGGGGGCAGGCAGAACCCACCCCTTGAATGTTCATCTGGATCCTGCAGGCAGCCCCCCTCTGGCCTGAATGAAGGGCTGCGGTGAGTGTCTGCCCACCTGAGGGGCTTCCTGTTGGCATCCTCTTGCTGACCCGGCCTGTCTCTGCCCCCCTGCCTGCCCGACAGGGACTGCATCGCCCTCTGCTTCCTCAACAGCGGCACCAGCTTCGTGGCCGGGTTTGCCATCTTCTCTGTCCTGGGCTTCATGTCTCAGGAGCAGGGGGTCCCCATCTCTGAGGTGGCCGAGTCCGGTGAGTGTTGGGGGGCTGGGTGCCAGGGTGGGTTCTGTGAGCTTTGTTTGAACCTTTGCCAACTGGGATCTGGACGCCTTTCTATTGTCACATACACTGGGGGTGACCCACGGTCACCCTTCAGTGTATGCATCCCTGGGAAGACCTGGGGGAGCACATCCACACTCACCCCAGCTTCAAAGGGTGGAGGGGTATACAGGGAGTGTTTCCCACACCTGGCCTCCACTTCCTTACCCTGGAGGCAACCAGTGTGACCAGGCTTGTGTTTCTCCTTCCAGAAACAATTTAGGCATCTGTGAGAAGAAAAGTGCACGCACACATACACACGTACGTGAACGTTCATACATACTTAACACGTATCACTATTTCTATTTCTTACCCCCTCTTCTAGAAAACCAACTGATAATATACTATAGACACTGTTCTGCGCTTTGCCTTGTTTTGCTCACTTTAAAATGTATCTGAAAGATAAGTTTATGTTGGCACAGAGTTTCCTCTTTTTCACCATGCAGTGTTTTTGCTTTTATATTTTTAAATTTTTTTTAAAGATTATTTATTTATTTTAGAGAGATAGAGCGTGAGCTAGGGGAGGGACAGAGGGCAGAGGGAGAGGGAGGGAGAATCTCAAGTAGACTCCCGGCTGAGCGCAGAGCTGGATGCAGGGCTCAATCCCAGGACCCTGAGATCATGACCTGAGCTGAAATCAAGAGGTAGTCGCTTAACTGACTGAGCCATTCAGGTGCCCCTGTTGTTGCTTTTATTTTATTTTTTAAAGATTTATTTATTTGAGGGTGCCTGGCGGGCTCAGTTGGTTAAGCGTCTGCCTTTGGCTCAGGTCATGATCCCAGGGTCCTGGGATCGAGCCCCTCACTGGGGTCCCTGCTGAGCAGGGAGTCTGCTTCTCTCTCTCCCTCTGCTACTCCACCTGCTTGTGCTCCCTCTCTCTCTGTCAAATAAATAAAATCTTAAAAACAGATAAGATTCATTTATTTGAGAGAGAGATAGAGAAATGAGAGAGCACGTGAGTACTCAACACACAAGTAGAGGGAGGGGCAGAGGGAAAGACTCTCAAGCAGGCTCCCCACTGAGTGCGGAGCCCCAGAGGGTGGGGGTGGTGCTCAATCTCGGGACCCTGAGATCAGGACCCGAGCCGACACCGAGTCAGAGGCTCAGCCCACTGAGCCACCCAGGCGCCCCCTGTTGTTGCTTTTAAATAAAATCAAGAATCAGTCCCCTACCTGGGTAAGCTGTTAAGTGTCCCTTGCCCTTCCCCTACTCTTGAGGACCACCCTCTGGCCCTCTGCAGCCAGACAGTGGTTCATCATCGCCTTCCCAAGCATGCCCTGTTACGCAGAGTGACAAGCACTGGGAACTGACATCGCTGATTCTTATTAAAAACGATGCTGTTTCACTTTTATTAAACATTTGCTCTACGCCGGGCACTGCAGGAAGCAGTTTGCTTGCACCAGGCAATGGAAAGCTTTGAGGCAGGACTGGTATTATCCCCATCCCACCAGTGTGGCAGGTGGGGATCGAAGAGGTAAATGACCATCCAAGGTCACAGTCATACTGTTTCTCAGAGGAAGCTTCTGTTGGATGAACCCGGGCGCGGGCATGTGTATCTGCTCCTGTCATCTGAGCCAGCTGAGAGGAACATTAATTTGTTTGAGAGGCCGTACGTCAATGGTACTCTGAAATCGATGCCTGTTCACTCGTTGCAGGGTGACAGGAAAGGCTCTGGGTGCAGAGGTGGCACACGGGTGGCCCCAGGTTCAATCTAGTCTTAGAGGTATTTTCTTTGGGAGCATATTCTTTGTAGAAAGAACACAGCGATTGCCTTGGTGGGGTCATGATGACGGTGCGTCCCATTGAGCTCCGCCTGTGCTCATTTGAGCCTGGGTCAGCTGCACAAATATACGTGGCCTGCCCGGCTCTGAGCTCTTTTTGAGTCTGAAACCTCTGGCTTGGGGCAATAGGTCCTGAGAGTGAGCCCTGAGGATCTGGGGTAGAGCTTGCAGAAATGCAGGTGATCTGCCCCCTGTCCGTCTCCCAAAGTCCTTACACCCACAGCTTCTAGGTTCTGTTCCTTCCAAGGAGAACACAGTGGATGGTGCCTTGGAGATCTGGGGAGCAGGTGGAGGTTCGGGTGGCTTCTCCCAGGGGAGGCTGGGGGTGATGACTGTAACTGTGGGGCGAGGTTTCCTCCAGCTCCCGTGATTCCATGACCCACGCCGGGCAGCCTTGGGATCACACGTGGCCTGGAGGCAGCCCAGAAACTGGGCTGTGTTCTTCTGCTCCTTGTTGTAGGCCCCGGCCTGGCTTTCATTGCCTACCCCCGGGCCGTGGTGATGCTGCCCTTCTCTCCTCTCTGGGCCTGCTGCTTCTTCTTCATGGTCGTCCTCCTGGGACTGGACAGTCAGGTATCAAGAGGTGGTCACGCGGAGCCTGAGAGAGAAGTGCGTGTGTGCGGGCTGGAGGAAGGGGAGCCGTGGACAGGAGGCTGAGCCCCATGTCCTGAGGGACCTTAAGACAGTTGGGGACTGGGCGAATGTCACAGGTGGAGGCCCTTCGAGGGACCAAGAGGGGCTCTGCAGGGTAGGTCCAGACCTAAGCATGCCAGGACAGCCCTGGGGACTTGAGACAGGGACAGGGCAGGGCTGAGCCTGGGAACAAGAAGCCAGAGCTGGCTGATGCAGCAGCGTATTTTGGGAGCTCTCTTTCCCTCCAATTCTTTTGCCCTCTCATCCAGTTTGTGTGCGTAGAAAGCCTGGTGACGGCGCTGGTGGACATGTACCCCCGAGTATTCCGCAAGAAGAACCGGAGGGAGCTCCTCATCCTGGGCGTGTCTGTCACCTCCTTCTTCATCGGGCTGGTCATGCTCACAGAGGTGAGGGTCTGGGAGGTGCGAAGGTGGGGACCGGGTGAGGAGGAGAAGCCAAGCTGGACAGGCCTCCCGGGCTTCAGGGCTCTGGGACTCCCTCCTTTTCCAGCCAGAGGGAGCTCCAAGTAGGTGAGGCCTTCCTCTGGCCTTGGAACATTAGCCACCTACCTCCGAGGGGTGATTTGGCTCAGTGGAAAGCTAAGAGGTATGAGAAAGATGGTCAGGAAGTTCTGGGTTAGGGAAAAACTGCCTCTCCAGCAAGCTCCCATAACTTCCAGCCAGCTGAACCACGTTCCCGGGACAGACTTCAAAGGGAGGAAGGGAGCCCTGGGGATGGGTACTATTCTGTGTTTCGTCTCAAGGGAGAAGGAAGGAGATGGAGCTTGTCAGCTTCATAGTACTGACGACGGCCTCTGTCCTGATCGTCTGCCAGAAAGTACACACTTCGTCTCCGACTTCTGGGTCAATCCCTAAATGTTCTCAGGGATGAGCTAACAATAGCTGTCTGTTTTATCCACCTTCTCTCCGAAAATAATAACAAAAAAATTATTGTCTCATATCTGCTAGTGCCTCACAGCTCCCAAACTATATTCTGTTTTAATATCTGTCCCCTGTGATCCTCACCAGGTCTGCTCTGTGTCCGTGGGTGTGAGGCTGGAGGCCAGGGGGGTAAATCTGTCTGTTTCCTCTGGATACAGTTCTGGTTTTTTTTCTCTTCCGCCCTGCAGGGCGGAATGTACGTATTTCAGCTCTTTGACTACTATGCAGCCAGCGGCATGTGCCTCCTGTTTGTGGCCATCTTTGAGTCCCTCTGTGTGGCTTGGGTCTATGGTGAGTGACTCTTCCCCCAGGTCCTAACCCCAGGGCTCATCACCACCTCGGGGCCCTTGGACAAAAGAGTCATCTACTGCTCTCACCCACCTTTTCCTGGGACTCCTCCCCTGCTCGACCTCAAAAATCTCAAGAATCCTAAATCGCTACCATTGGAAGGGCCCTCCAGAGGTTGCTTTGGCACCCTCCTGGTTATGGCCGCACCCAGACTGCCCCGAGTGGGCCCATATCCTGTCCTAGCCAAACCTCGTCAGCCCTTCACAACCCTGATGTTCACAAAGTCATTATCTTTGCCTATGCCAAGTTTTGCCCCCTGCTGCGTATGCCTATGAATCCCCGGGAAGAGATTCTCCCAGCAGTGATTTGGAAAGACAGCCATGGTATCTTCTATTTCTTGGTCCTTGCCCATCCAGCCCGTGCCTCGGATGCTGAAGAATGTCCTTTCTCCCCCTTCCTTCCTTCTCTTCTTCCTGGTAGGAGCCAGGCGCTTCTATGACAACATTGAAGATATGATTGGATACAGGCCGTGGCCTCTTATCAAATATTGCTGGCTCTTCCTCACCCCAGCTGTATGCACAGTAAGAGAACCTTCAGGGGGAAAGCGACATGAAGGCAAAGAGAGATGGTGGTGGTAGGAGGATAGATCGGCTGTTAGCTCTAGAAGGGACTTCTCCACGGGAATTAAAAATCATTTTAGATTTTCACTCATCTTCCTGTTGGATTCTAGAAAATGATTAGCAAGATAGATTCTTCCTTTCCAATTCACAGAAGGTTAAACTGAGGTCCAGAGCTGCCAGGTGGTTTGACCAACACCACAATGTGAGTCAAATGTCACAGGCAGGACGGCAACCCAAGTGCATTGGGCTGCTTGTAGTGATACTAATAACCACAGCAATAATAACAACACCATTACAGAGCGCGCACCTTGTGCCAGGCATAAGGTGCTTTGCACGTTTTAACCCACTTGATCTGCACAAGAACCCCATGAAGAATTACTATTATACTCATTTTATGGATGAAGCTGAAGCCAAAGAGGGTAAGCAATTTACCCTAGCGAGAAAATGGCAGTGAGCTAGGATCAAGCCCAGCAGCTTGGCTCCAGAGTCTAGGCCGTAAGCCACTAGGTGCTGCCTCCTGGGGCTTTATCTTGTGTGTTAGCTGCTCCTCCAAGCGCCCACTATATGCAGGGTATAAATGTGGCCCAGGGGGCAGGAGGCATGACCCCCTGCCCTTGAGGCCCTCGCAGCCCCACCTGATGGTGCTGGAGCCTTAAACACTCAAAAACACTAGCAGCCATGTAACCATGTCCTAGCTGAGGGACAGCCCTGTGTAGAGGTGCCCGGGGGCACGGGGCCCTGCAGGGACAGGGGAAGCACTCTGGAAATTCTATTGGGGGGTGTGGATTTTGAGTAGAATGTGGATGGGGGAGTGCCTGGATGGCTCAGTCGGTTAAGCGACTGCCTTTGGCTCAGGTCACGATCCTGGAGTCCCAGGATCGAGTCCCACATTGGGCT